TTGTTTCAAGGCCCACAGGGCTTAACTAAGTTGTAGCTGTTGTCTGGGTAAAAACTGCACTTCTAGTTTTTCCATTTCTTTTCCTTGTCTTAGAATGTGAAGTTTGTCTGAGATTTTATTTTAAGTAACACTATAATTACACAGCAGTGATGTAAAGTTTACATACTGTGTGGCAAGATGCTGCAGAATGTTTTAAAACTGGATTAATATATCTCCTGGCATGGATTAAAGATTCTTCATGATGTGAGTGAATAGTGGTCAATACTGTCTTATGATGATATTCTACCAGACCAATGTTCAATAAATAACAGGTCTGAGTTAAATTTTTTTTGAAAACTGAGCACAATGATACTTTGTGTTCATAGTTCTTCAGAATACTTTCTTATTACATACCTCCACAGAGGTGAATTTACTGAGGCTGCCCATTTTTAGTCAAAGCCTAGAAGGAAATGTTTCTGATGCCTGTAGGAAATTCAGTGAAAACATAATATTAATATCTATGCTATCCCATAAACATATTTGTGAGAATGCTATGTGTCATTAAAATGCTCAATTCTGAAGTTTGTATAAATTATAGTTTTAAGAAATTGTATTTGAGAGAAATACCATTATGAAGGCAACACTCAACCTATTTTATCAGGCACCAAGAGAATTAAGGTAACTTGTGATAGAAAGGATAAATGATTACTCATCAGTCAGAGCTGAACATAAATTCTGTGTCATCTAGCAGCACCATGTTACTAGCATTGCTGTTTGGCTAGACCTTCTAAATACTATTTCTCATCATGGTGAAATTTGAGTAGAAAATTGCAAAAGAAATACTCCTCAGGTTGTGAGATCTGATTTTAATTATTCTCATCTGTTGGCAGTGTTTGCATAGATTATAGAACTTAAAGTGAATCATCTTGTCACAGCTTCTCAAACATTTAGGTCCTTCACTGATTTGTCAAGAACCAAAGGAAGAGATTACAAAAGAGATCTTAATCTGGTAAACATTTTTTTCTCTCTTTCATGCTGCAATTGATATGTCTTTTCTCTACTAAAATAGTACTAAAGGAGTAGAGAACTAAAGAAAATAATCTCTTACTCTGTGTATCTGTATATATGTATATATATAGAAAAAATATAAAACATTGAACAAGTAACTGATCTGAAATTTTGAAGAAAAGTATGAAGATCTAGAAATAAGTGACAAATGGGGCAAAGTGTAACATGATAGGTCATTCTTGACTATATACAGATATATTTTAATATATAACTAATTTTCTAGACCAAGGAAATGTAGTAGATTCCTTGATTTAGACTTTCTTAAGGCTTTTGTTGCACCTACATCTGAAAAAGAATTAGAAAAGATTAGTAGACAAGAGGCATGCTTACAATGTAAATTACTGGGCCAAAAGGCAGTGAGCCTAGTGGGCTTCTTAAAGACCTTTCACATGACTTATGACACTTCAGCTTTTCTTGTTCTCATGGCAGCATAAAAAGTAGAAACCTCTGATTAAATTTGCTGGCATTGCAGCGGTAGGAGACATATGGGGAAGACTGGGATATGTCGTAGTCGTGATAAAGGCAGATTTGATTTTAGGATGTATTTATTTTAAAGTATTAGTGACACTGGATAAAGCACTAGTAAAATCCCTCTGGATAACTGGACACAGTTTGTGTTGTGGCTGTAGTAAACTCAGGTGTGAGCGCACGCACAGAAGTTCTGTGAAGTTGACCAAAGGAATGGTGTCTCTAACAACACAAGAGTTGACTTGGTTAACACAATAACGTTACTTAAACTAAAAGACTGTTTTGTCTTAAAAAAATTAAATTGGCAATTAATGCATCTAGAATGGAAATTAGAATGTTCGTAGTAGTTACATGTGCAAAGTTCAGAGAAGAAAAATGTACCTGGGCTTAAAGTGGAGTTTGATCAGTTTATGAAAAGGATCATGTAGAGTGGTTCCCAGCAATAGAAGGGTGGTGCTTCCAGTTGTATGATCCAAGTTCTTGTGTTCTTAGGTTGTTTAATTGCCCTTACAGTGCAGTATCTCACTGAATTCAGCTTTATGTCATTTAATGTAATTGAAATATTAGGTCTTGAGAAGGCTATAAATAGAACATCATAAATGTGAAGCTCTAAAGTCTTTGATACCTGATGGATGAATATCTGAAAGAGAATATCTGTGTGTCAACACAGCCTACCAGCAGCTGTGGAGGCATGCACTTCAGGCCCTTGGGGGTCCTCCATGCTAATCATTTGAGTTGTTTCTCAATTCCAACTGGACCTAACTATTTAGCAAAATTACTTTTTTTCCAACATGTAAAGCACATAAACTGAAAATTAGCAGAAAAGTGGAGGCTGAACATTGTTCAAAATGGTATTTTCTTTTTAGCTTTGTTTATGTAGATTTGTGTATGTAGGATACTTGAAAAAACAGTCTGGCAGCCTTCTGTGCTGCTGAGTGGTACCTACTCTTGTCTAATGTGGCATCCAGATACATGTGAAAAGAAGAGCAAATGGAAGAAGCTGATTGATTTACCTACCTCACTTGTAAGACCTATGTCTCGTATTAATCAGTATCTGTTTCAGAAATAAAGCTTACTTTAAAATGATTGTGATGTTTATGGCTAACCTGAGATGTCAGACGTCTGGAATTATTTACAACCTGATTTAAAGTGCCTGCTTTGTGAAGGTTATGTGTAGTGATAATCAAAAAGGAGATATCCCAGCAGCAAAGCTCTGGACTCTGGATTTAGGTAGTGCAGTAGAGTGAAGTCTCTAGCATTAGGCATCTTTGGTCTCAACACAGTTAATGATTTTGAGGAGGCAGGTGATTTTGAGGGCTGATACAAAGTTCTCACCTGCTAACCAGGTATCCTGCAGGAAACAGTATGTTGAGTGATGAATCTAACTCCTCTCCTGCTTATCAGGAATGTGAACATTAGAGTTGAGGACACGTGAAACATTTTGTGTGCTTAGGATCCAGACTGCTGGTTTTCCTGAGAGTATTTGAATTAACAAGGCTGTATTCTTACCCATATTTTGCAGGATGCCATGACAGTTATGTATTAAATAGCACTTCCCTACTGCAGATTGAAGAGGTTTCAGCTGGGAATACATGTCCAGAAGAGTACTCTTAACTGTGTGCCATAGAATGCTGAGGAGTCTAAGAGGGTAGTGAAAGGGAAGATTTTTTTAATAAGCATTATGGCCCACAGTGCAGCCAGGGATGCAAGATTCATGGGGCCCATGGCAGGAAGGCAAGAACGGGGTTTAGTCTGTAACCAGAAAATAAGACATTCATCTAGCGCAGGAAGGTATGGATTTTCGGCCTTGCTCTCAAGATCAGACTGTAATTGAATAAAAACTAGAAATAATCTCCAGACTAGAAACCATAGCCTTGATACCTTAGATAAATTAACCACTAAGTCACAGAAGTTACAGTGTGCTTGTGGGAATTAGGAATCCCCTCAGGTGAGAAGGGATCATACCTATTCCTGCATCTGCAGCCTCATGGGGGAGTGCAGGCCATCCTTAAGACTCATGAAGAAGGAGGTTACCATTTTCCCTATGTCCTTTGCTCATCACATCATGAAGACATTTCACATGCCTCTGTGTGTAGACTGGGAGACTTCTGTTCATAGCCAAGCAGGATGCTTTGCGGGCCAAACTTCAAGCATCTTAAGGCTAGGCTTGACTCACTGTTGGAATTAAATACGTGAATTCTGTAGAGGTCACATTTTAGGAACCAAATAGGAGATTTGATTTTTGTTCATAATGAATAACAAAAGAAACAATTGCCAGGTAAGTTGTTGAGCTTGTTTGAAATGAGCAAAAGGACTAGAAATATTTCTTGAAAGAAATCCCAGGTTTTTCGTGGAATGTTTAGGGTCTGAAAAACATATTTATATAATTAGTTTTATTACTGCACGTCTACCTCCTATAAAAAGCTCTTAAAATGAAGAGAGGGCTGTAAAGTAAAGTTGGCAGGTATTGAAGCCAGGATGTTTTAATCCGTATTTAATTGTATGCATTTCACATTTTGGAAAAACTAAAATAATTGCTTCTGGTTTTAGAAAGGTTCAAGACTCTTTGCAACTTTTATCATACAAATTATCCTATTATTTCAGTATTATGTCTTCTCATGTTCAATAAGAACTGCATGTACATTGCAGATCCACAGTCCTTGTATGCTAGCAAACTTCATAAAGCTTGTTCTAAAAAGAGAGGAGGCAGTGTGTACCACTCTTTACAACAATACTCTGAGCTGCACTGTTGTTGTATCAATGGTTCTTTAATGTCCTTCTTTAGATCCTGTTTTTTAAAAATCAGAAAATCTACTTAATGTGCTATCTTATAATGTTGCCGTGGCAGTGATATATCATTATGTGTTGGGGAATAATAATCAATTCTGAACTGCCCTGTTGATGGTTAACAGTGAAAGAGGAGCTGGGAGTGCCAGACAAAATGAGCATTCACAGAGACAAACTGTATCTTTCAGAATGAATAATACTTCTATTATTTTAATGAAGAAAATGTTTATAGGATGACATGTATAAAAATGTAACACTGTTTCCCAGTATTGCTGGTTTATTTTAAACCAGAGCACATAAACAATAATTCTGCATTGAAGTGTGACCACATTCTATTTGGTGGTGTTTTCTTTGGAAATGTATGTGTCTTTTACTGTGAGAGCAGGGTAGACAGAAAATGGATTTTGTGCAATATACAAATAAAAACAATCTGTTAGTAAATCTATAAATATATTCCCTTTGTTTCAGAAAACAACAGCAATTTAAAATCCTTTCTCAGTAGGGTGTCTAAAAATTGAAGGAAAATGAAAGATTCATTGTGGTCAGCGAGCATTCAGTCAATTGAGATTCACACCCCTGTAGCATTCAGCCAATTAAAGTGGGGTGGTAGGATTATTAATCAATAGGTGAAATGTACTTTTACCCAACAAGTAGAAGAACAAGAACAATTAATTAATGGGGTTTCATTTCATCCAAAGGTGTGCAGAAACAAGAGTTGGTGTGTAAAAGGCTGGATGACAACTCCATTGTGCAAAACAATTACTGTGACCCTGACAGTAAGCCTCCAGAAAACCAAAGAGCCTGCAATACTGAGCCTTGCCCTCCTGAGTAAGTCATTAATCACTAAGATGGACATGTGTTTTGCATAGATAGAAGAGTCTTTGTAATCTATAATAAATCCTGTTGACCAAATGTGTAAAAAGTTCTGATCTAGTATTAGGGTCTTGTCTTATCAGACAGGATATTTGGGTTTGTTTCTTGGTTATGGTTTCTTGTTCCTCTCAAGTCAGCTGTGAAAAATAAATACTTTGACCTAGAGGAGGCATGACTTGACTGAGGAACAGTGGTGTTTAAACTACACAAAGCAGCTCAGACATGGTAAGTAAAAAGATGTAGCTACTACTAGCTAAGTAGTTTCTTAGGGTGTAAGTGTCAGATGTGGTGAACAGTGCTCAGAGTAGAATGGTGGACTGTTCTTAAGGCAACAATGACAGAAGAATCTTGAGGTGAGGCTAACTTTGCCATAGATATTTATATTACATACTAAATCTTTGCCACATTTTTAAGTATATTATATTAAACTTTGGGTTTAAGTGTTGACATGAGAAATGGCAAACATAGAAACTGCTTAGTAGACCAAATAATTTACTGATAATAGTTTTGTCAAACAACTTTCTCTTCAGGATACTCTGATGTACATTAATGCTGTGTACCTTCAGGATTAGGTGCCTACTTGGTTTCATCTGTTTAGTTTTATTTTTAAGTATAGCTGTATGCTATATTAAGAAAAGATAATTAAAACCACAGCAGCTCATTTGTTCAAAAATGAAATTTGGCAAGGACCTGTAGCATAGTTTATTATCACTACAAAAGCTGTTTAGAAACAGTTTTGATATTTTGCACTAGAAAATAATTTCAACATATGCACAACAGCTCCTTCTTACATTTTGAGACAAATAAAATGTGGAAAAAATGGAAGAGAGACAACAGTGCATTGATTCACAAGCTCTGATTAGTTCAAATTTGGTGATAACCTATAGCTATATTCTTGTTGAGTGTGAAAATCATTAATGCTGATTAAATGTACATATTGCACAATAAAGAAATTATGTGGTCTCTTAGAAACTGTAAGATTGTAGCATGAAGGACACTGGGAGGAATGAAACAAGACTATAATGCATTAAAATCCCAACAGGTCTTCATTAAGCCAGTTTCTTCCTAGAGTATCACCTGGTGTGGTGACTGGTTGCAGGATGGCAGAGCAACGTGTTCTATGCTTACTCCCCTTGTGTCATGTATCATGCTCATTTGACATGAACAGACGTGAAGCCCCCCCAAATTACATTGCCTCGACAGCCTATATTTAAATATATGGTTACCCTGCAAGGATATGCTCTTGGATTCTGTTTGGATAACACCATTTAGTATGGCTGTAAGTGCACTACCTAAACTCTCACACCATGTACCTGAGAGCAGAACTTGGGAAGTGGTCATGTTTGGTGAATTCCTTTTTACCAAACACCTCCCTATCCCTTCCTTTGTGTGGCTTAACTGTTTGTTAACAAATAAGCACTTTAAAAAGTAGTGTTAACATAGTTATTCCAAACCAATTAATGTTTATTTTTTGGAATGACATTATTTAAAAAACAAAAACCAGAAAAAAACCCAACCCACAAAGCGGGACATTTCTGGATTCTCCATCCAGTACAGCAGGGACAATTGATGAACATGGTAAAATTCAGGTCATCAAGATTCAGAAAACGGGTTGTGTATTAATCAGCAGCTGCTTGAGTATGTCAAGCAGATCAGCCCATATCTGCCCCCGTTCTAATGTTCCCCACAGGGTGAATACAAAGTGCCAAACTCCTAAGGAAAGGTTCTTGATTCCTGATCCTGTAAGTAGTCTAGAAGAAGGCTGTTCAAATAACAGATAGTTACCAAAGAAGTTGGACCCTTTTGGCTGGAAAATGCATCTTCCAGTAAGACTTCCTCTGTACGTAGAGTGGCCAATAACACAGTTCTGCTTTCCTTGTAGTGTATACAATAAGTTACGAAAATGTTACTCCTTCTAACTGAATACCAGTTACATTATACTTGATGTCCCTGAGTAGCAGCAATATTCACAATATTTTGTTATTCCAATGCATAACTCTTTTAAGTTCCAGATTTCAGTAAATGATACAGGTAACCCTCGTAGTTCTATGAGTTATGAATAGTACTGTCTTGTCATGTGGTATAAACATAAAAAGTACCTGAGAATGCACTTGAGCAAATCATAGTACCAACTGAAAATTAACACTTCGGCCTGTCTAAAGCTCTGAACAGCATCTAATTCTCCTAGCTGTGGTAAAAGCGTAAGTTTGGTGGCGAAGAATCACAAATCAATTCTCATCTGCTGGGAAATGAATGGCAGAATATGGCATATTTGTTTGCATCTCTGCATTGATTTAGGTTCATACTAGAATATATTACACATTCTGTAACACAAGACAAGATAGCAGCACATTTTTTTTGAAAGAGGCTTCAGAAAATAACAAATCTTACAAGGCAGCTCCGAGCATACGTCCAGGAACATCCACAGTGACTGACATGCCTGGCATTTTTGGCATGTTGTCAACATGTAATAGCATATTGGACTTCACATCCATCCTTTGCAAGGATGATTCAGGCAAATGTATCTAATCAACATATGAAATATTGAGGACCAAATGTGCTCGTCAATGTGAAGAGTGAATTTCCAGTGAATTGAGCGGCATTAACCATTCATCAGTATAAAAAAAAAAATTGCAGCCAGATTAACAGCTGCTTTAATCTCTGTAGCAACACAAAGTAATCTAAATATACCGTACAACTCCTGACTTTTGCTATGTATGCACACACAATCATAAGTTCCCCTGGCAGCTATCATGCAGTGCTTTAAATTTTTTAAATATTTGTTGAGGTGATTTTTTTATGTGATAAATTCATGTTTTACTAGTGTTTGCTTTACTAAATGCTGATAAATAAGAATATTTTGCATTTCAGTATAGCCTTTTGTAAAAAAGTTTTGAAACATTTCATAATCAGATGAGAATTAACTCTCAGCCCAATTTCAAGATCGAATTATTTTATTGTAATGATACTAGAGAGTCAACCATCTTGGCTTTTAAATTGTGCTGTAACCCACAGCAGTGGTTCCCATATATTTCCGGTTGCTAACGACTTTCAGAGAAATTATTTCAGGCAACTTCAGTACAAATCTACTTAAATAGCTGCAGTTTTGTCAGGCTCAACACTCCTTTCTAACTACTATAGCCTAGGCTGGAAGTTGCTGCTCTAGGAAAATACAAAGTATTAGTACTGTTGAAAGATATGATTGCGGTGAGGCATAAATTAAAATGCTCAGTAAAAAGACCCGTAAGTTTCTACTTTATTTCAATGTGAATACATGTATTGTTGACAATGATTTTGGTTTAGTAATTTAAACTATTTGGATTCTAGGTTTGTGCAATTATCTACTCCATTTCTGAAATGCATTAACTGAGCCTCCTAACTTTTTCTATCCAGATGGTTTATAGGAGATTGGTCAGAATGCAGTAAGACCTGTGATGGAGGAATGCGTTCAAGAACAGTTCTCTGTATCAGAAAGATTGGGCCTTCTGAGGAGGAGACACTGGACAATACCAACTGTTTAACACATCGGCCTATTGAAAAAGAGCCGTGTAACAATCAGTCCTGTCCCCCACAGTGGGTTGCTTTGGACTGGTCAGAAGTAAGGAGATTTTGCTGTATTGGCTCATTAGTAAGAGTGGAGGCAAAAGCTCTGGCCTCTGAATATTTTCTATCACTGCTTACTAAGTAAAGGATTAATAAGAAATTGAAAACCTCATAGATTTAGCATTGAAGCATTTTTTTTCTTTTTTCATTCCTTCTATAGTGTCAGTTCTGTGGTTTTGTCAAATGATTATGACCTGTTTTTATTAATCACCGTAGAAAAATAGTAAAATACAAAATAGAATAATAAAGTATTTAAAAAAACCTAATGAAACACACACACACATACACACATGCCCCTGAGTAGCCATTTTGTATGAGATAATTGTCTTAAAGAAAACAGCAATTTCCATTTCCATTGGTTTTTGAACAGGCAAATAGCTGGATAGTAGAGATGATGAGCTTACATTGTCAGAAGATAGAATAAACTGTTGGGTTTTTTTTTCTGAAGTAAGGCATCGCCTTTCTTAGCAACACACCTCAAGAGGCAGACCTGAAAGTTGGTATTCTCTTTATTAAAGAAAGAACATCTTTCATTAAGTATGGTGGTATCTGTTATAGTATAAGCCAAGCTTACATTATACGTGATTCAAGTATTAAATTTGAAGAATGTGAACAAGTGCAGCTGAAAGGAAATGCAGATGTATTTGAATGGGACTGCATCACATGCAGATCAGAGTGCAAAAATATTGGTATACTTTTTCAGATCCTTTCTATCATTGACTCCCATCTCAGCCCACTTTTTATCTCAACTCATTTTGGAGTACTTACAAGTTAGGATTTCCTGAATTTCCATGGCAATGTCCTTGCTGTCAAATGCAGCATATAATATGATTGCTTTCATAAATTGACTAAACTATGTTTTATAATTAGCTAATCTGGGGGGTTGTCCCACAGCTTCTTGGAAACTATTCTGAATTTCAATCTTTGAATTGCAAGAATTGGTCTAATGTTCTAGTTCCATTCCAGTTTATACCTGTTTGCTTTTGTTATCTGAAACATCCCTTCTTCCTTTCCAGCTATTATTCATCAGAAATGAATTAATCTTGATCACATTCTGCTTTCATGTTTCAGTTTGAAGTCATCTTTTTGGGAATGGATTACTAGGGTTAAATGTATAAATTATCCCAGAGGAGGTTTCACATGTGCCTTATTCTTTTGTTTCCTGCCTCTACTGAAAATACCCGTAACCTACAGTTACCCTAAATAAGGTTCTCGTGTTCCACAGCTATCACATATTGATTACATAAAGTTATCTTACACTCTAGTAATATCTCCAGATCTTTATCCTCATTTTTTCGTTTCTTGTTGGTTTTTCTTAGGAAATGCATGCTCTTGTGTGTCATACTGCCAAAATTCACTTCATTTCAGTTATTAATGTCTTCATGGTTGTCCAGTTCTTTTCGTGGAGAATAAGTCTGTAGCATCAAGGTCAGTTACCTGTGCTATCTGGTAGTTTCAGTAATTTCAGAAACACTGAACAACCGAAACTAGGTTTGTATGAACATCATTAAGTAGACTGGGAAGAAAAAGGAATCAGATCAGTTCTATGACTGATCCTAGAAGGTCTTTGCAGGTAGCATCTCTCAACTCCTGAACTTTACCTGGTTGTGATCCCCCTTTCGAATACTTACTGATGCCTAGGTAGGTTCCACTTCCTTTGTCTAAAAAAATGAAAGGAGAGTATTAGAGTAAAATGGAATGATCTACCAACGATAGACCCATGATATTGCATACATCAATTATATACCCAGTATCCCATTTCCTGTGTACTTGCTTGCCTTTAAACACTCTTTCATTCAAAGTAAATGATAAATCACTGGATACTATAATGAATATTGATGTGCCCCTTCTATGCACAGATATTTTTAGCTCTAAAAGTTGTTACAGTCTTTAGAAATTCAGAGCATAAAGAAGGAAGCCTGCTAGCATCACTGTGAGCACACATAGAAGTGGTACAAAACAGCTCTTACCATAATTTGTTAACACAGGGAATACTGTTCACGAAATCACGGAATGTTTGAGGTTGGAAGGGACCTCTGGAGATCATCTTGTCCAACCCCCCCTGCTCAAGCAGGGCCACCTAGAGCCAGTTACCCAGGACAATGTCCAGACAGCTTTTTAAGATCTCGAAGGATGGAGACTCCATCTGCTACTAGTTAATAATAGTCTAAGCTCTATGGCCATACTTAAAAGTAGTAATACCTGCATGTTAAATTACAGTGCAGTGAGCTGCCATGGAAACTGTTGTTGTTCATCTCCTTGCTGTCTGAATTTCATGCTTGTATAATCTCCATCTGTTCTTCTTAGCTGAAGAAACTACTGTAGACAACTTTTAAATTATTATTATACACGTTATAACAGATATTTTTTGGAATCAGTTCTACAAAGAGTTGTCAGCTTTATATCCTAAAACCTGTAGAAAAGCGGTTTCTTTCAACAACTTTTCTCACTGTAGATCAGGACCTCAAGAAACCTAGAAATGGTGTGGTGAATCTTAAAGTGTATGTTGTTCTACATGCAGAGCAACAGTTTTTTACCCCACTGTTAGCCAGCATTTCGCACAAGAAGTAGGGCACCAAAGTCAAGGCAGAAAAGGTATTAAATGGTCCTTGTCCCTGCCTGAAAATATACAGTGTATTCCAGCCCTTTGAAAATGAATGTGACTTAGAGCAGAAAGGAAAGGAGTGAGCAGGAAAGAATGGATGAATGGGAGGAGATGTTCAGTTGAAGCATCTATCATACCATGTCTGTGGCATTGATAGGTTGTTCATTATCACAGTACGTCATTTCTGATTGGAATATCTAGGCACCGTCTTATTACTAACAAATAATAGTATCCACGTGACAAGTTACAGCACCATACATATATTTTGTCGTATACTACTGCCCTTTAGCTACCTTCTTGAGACATTGCTCACTGCTGCATCAGCCCTAGAGCTATCAACATTGCCACCCTCATAAGAAGCTTGAACAACTTTTTAAGGCCTTTATGTTCAGCCTTTTGTAGAGCACTGGCATGTTATAATTTTGAACAAAATAATTCCAATCTAAAGATTCAAGCACTGCTAAGCTTCTGGTTGTGATGGTATTTGATCAGAATTGTGAAAAAGTGCCAGCTACTTTCTGGTATGAATTTTGCCTAGTGTAGCTTAGCAAACTGTCTTGACGACACCATTTTAATATAATGAGAGAAATAGCTTTTTTTTTTCCATTCAGGGTTCCCAGAAGTATAATGTATTAAAATCCCTCTAGTAATATTCACATAAACGTTTTAATATGTGTATATATATGATTTTCTGACAGAAGAATGAAAATGAAAATACGAGTGAACTCAAGAAGTGAAGAGTTGAGTACTGTTTCCATTGAAACCAATGGCAAACCTTGCTACTTTTCTCTGGAATGCAAGTTCTAAAGTTTTATTTTCATACTTAAAACGATACATCATACAAATTAACCAATTATGGAACTCTTTTATATGCTAATGCACTTGTTAAACATCAATATAGTTACACATTTTTTTTTTAATTTTCAATGATAATTAACAAGAAATTCTGTATCTTTTTGGTCTGAGAAACAAAAACATTTTGTAAACATAGAGATTAAATAAAGTCCTTAGGAGAATGTAAACATGCTTTTATCAAATAGTAATTAAAGCTAACAGTGTCTTGCACAGCAGAATGTAGTTGTTCTTGGGTAACATCAGTTTTGCCATAGAACTTTTCATGCCTTGCAATAGTTGAGCTTTGTCTCAATTATTCTGCTCACTGTAAATTACTTCTTTTTTATTTTTGCAGATAATAAAATAAACCGGCAAAAAAATAGTCTAAGGATTTATTGAGAAAACCCTTATCAGACAAGCACATTTACTTTGCATTCATATCACCATTAGTCATGGCTTCTGCTGAGTGAGTCAAAAATTCTAGAAGCATTTAGTAATGGAAGACACTTCTTCCTGTTTTTATTTGTCTGGGTATTTTGCCTTGCATTTGCTTGGGAGACATACATTTTTTGTTAAATTCTACTGTTGCTTTTTATTTTTGGTGATTCAGTATTATTGTAGGCAAGCTATTTCCTTACTTCACTTTCATTTCTGGGGACAGGGTGTAGCCCATCTTGTTTAGTGGAATTTTGACTATGACTCCAAAGAAGTGTTTTCTAAGGGATGTTGTTTTCTTCTGGTACCAGTAGCTGAAAGATTTTCCTCAGATGGCAGCTTAGACACAGATAAAAGAACGCGTCTTCAAACAGAACTAGAAAATGGATGCACTGAAACTCAAAATTTTGATCCTCAGACTCTTGTGTAATTGCTAACACATTCTAGAGATTATGAAACAGTATAGGCATGTTGGGTTTTGACATTTTTTACAAGGTCCTTTCAACCTTGTCTCTTTTTCTGTTATTTTATCTGTTATTTTTTGACAGAATGCTCCATCACTGAGAAGAAGCGATTGAGCGCAAGTGATTTTTAAGCACTCGGCTAGGAAAGGGCACTTGCTTCTAGTTCTTGTATAAAAGTCATACATTTTACCTGAAACATTTTGGGGAGAAAATACACGCAACATTCTCTGTGATTTGGACCAGAGCTGAGGAGTCATGATCATGATGCTGAAGACCTCACATATTTGTTGTCATTCTTTTTTGGTCTCTAATTTGCATTAATGTTCTTTTTGCAGTTCAACCAGAGAGACAGAGATCTTTCTTCTCTTACTTCCCTCCCTCCTCTAGTTTTCTAGTAGGCAGGTACTTAGGGTACAAAAGATTTTGGGTCGAAGTCCCTTTAGTATGAAGATGGTTGAACCTGGCTATTCTGTGTCAGAATTCTGAACACTGAGCTACTGTAGATAAGGAGACAGTACATTGATAGGAAAGCATAGATTAGGATACGAAAGGAAAGGCTACATTTTAATGAAATTGATTATATACCCATTTTGCAGTTCTGGATTATAAACTCCAAATGGAGGACCCATCGCTTTGCAGTCTGGTTTAAGATCCTAAATCTAAGCAGAGATAAGACTTAGGATAAACTTGCCCTTTCTGTATTGGCTAGTTTAGGTGGCTCCCACTGAGAAATTTTCATAAAGATCTTGTTTTGAGATATATATACACACAACTTCACATATGTATAGGGAATATTGACACCTTACATGGTACTCTGGAACTGTTTTAAAATTTATTTAAGTTAGGCAGAGATGCTTCAGTATTAAGCATACAACAGTAATGTTTGGATCACTCAAGTCATTTTTTTGAAAGTGAAAGGGTTTTTATTATTTTCCCAGTTACATACTGACCTGTTTTGGGCGCATGGAAGGCCTTTGGTCTGCAACCTCTTGAATATTGCTTCAGTTCCACATAGTATTGTTTTCCAGTCAGAGTTTTGTCTCTACAGCTGCTTTCATATGAAAGGCAGTTCCACATTTGACAGGTTTAGCATAATCTGTAAGGTTTATGCTATCAGAAACTGATTCTTGTCGAAATACTGCAGATATGCTCACGGGATAAAGGTTAATACGCCAATAGGGAATTCTAAAACTATACTTGCAACATCTCCTGGTCAGATGTTGAAGAGGGACTGATTTGGGGAAGGTCTTTAGTTTTAATTTTGTTAGCACCACAACGGGTCTCTTCCCCATTCTGCAGTTGTGCTAATGTAAATGACAGTTAGTAGTCAGTAGCAAAAAGGAAGAACGGGGGCAACCAATATGAAGAAAGAGGAGGAAAACAGAGGTCATCAAACCTGCTTCTTTTCAAATTACTTTTTCTAATTCAAATTCAAATTAGAACAAGTAGAGGATTGATAAAAGGAGCAAAAACTAAAACTGGGAAAACAGAATTAAGATGTAAATATGAGAGGAGAGAAAAGCATGCATTGCAGGAGAGGGTACAGTATTTCTATCTGAATAGTCTGGTTTCTGTGAAATCCAGTAAAGCATTTTCCTTCCCATACATGTCCATTGTAGCTCAGTAGTCTGTAAGTGAGGTGGAGAAAGACTATGTACTAAGATCATATTAAGAACAGAGTTCTACTATCAATTTCTGAAAGGCACACTCAAGTTTTTTTCATGATAGCACTACCTGTTTCAGATGTTTCTTCTTTGCATCAAAGTGCTTTTCTTAAACCTAACCTGAAGTCTCATATATATAAAAGTAAATAGTAACACCATAGCCTAAATATAAATAGCAAAGGAAATCTACTTTCATCAAGTTAAAACTTATAAAAACTTGAACTTAATGAAGCAACCATCAGTCAGCTTATTTGTGTTTCTAAACGTTTTAAAATTACCGTTATACTCTTGGGAAAATCATGATTATTATTTAATTATAAGACCATAAATGTATTCTCCTGTTTTCCATAAAAACATTTCTGACACTTTTATTGACTGTTTACTGAGATTTTAATTATTTATTGATGTCAATATTTTTTTAGTGCACACCAAAGTGTGGCCCAGGATTCAAACACCGAATTGTTCTGTGCAAAAGCAGCGATCTTTTAAAAACTTTTCCAGCCGCACAATGCCAAGAAGAAAGCAAGCCTCCGGTCCGCATCCGCTGTAGTTTAGGCCGATGTCCTCCTCCTCGCTGGGTTACTGGAGACTGGGGACAGGTGAGAGAGTTCGTAGAAGTATTGTGACTGAAACAATATTTTCTGTCAGCTTTTGTCCTGTTTGTCTCAGATGATACTTGTTTACTGAAATATGAAGGATTTGCTGACAGCAATCTAGTTTCTACTGGATGAGTTTCTGTATGCATCTTTTTAAAAATTAAATAGTCCTTATTGCAGTCTTTTTGGAAGGGATTTTTGGGTACAGCAATGTTGTGAGGTTTAGTATTTTTAAAACACATTTAGCTTCCTTGAGAAATATGATGGAAATAGAAAGCCAATTCCTATTCTAGTAAGAGAGAGATAAATATGCATCTCCACCAAAAAATTTTGAGTTCTATATGCTTTTACATAAAATACGCTGAATTACCAGACAGGCAGCTAAATTGTTACGGGACAAGCTGAATAGTGCTGCCATTATGTGGTGTTTCTAAACATGATATACTGAGTTTTCTTCATTCGTTATGTCTTTGCATCTCAATTACGATCAATAACCTCTTTTTAAAATAGTAAGTGGATGTTTCAGGTTCTAAGTTTGCTGCGTGACTTGCCACTAATGAAAATAAAACACTTTAGTTTAGCTAACCAGAGGACAGTCATTTGTGATATTACAGTCTAATCAGCTTTTCTTTTACGGTAGTTGTTCAGATGCGCATTTATCTTAAATGGATACTGTACTAAAACCATTATTTAATTGTAGAAATTAAAAAATGTTTTGAAACAGCAAAGTATTTTTGTTTGAAAGATAGTTTCCTTTTTCATTAAAAAAGTTCTCTGGCAGATTTGAATTCTTGTTCTCTTTGGTTACTCTTTTTTATTCTAAAGTGATTATATCTCTCTTGAAAACATGCACTTAAACTCAGACATTGTATGTGAAATAGTGTAAATTATTTTCTTATATGTCAAATCTGAACTGTGTAGGGATTTTTTTTAACATTACATTGTGTTTTATTTTCTTTGGAAGACAAGTTCTTGCATATACTGTCAAAAAAGAAATATTCTAAACTGTTTTATGAAAATTATTTTCTGTATTAACCAAGTCACTTCAGATGCCTGTCTTCTTTAAAATTTGTGCATGTGTATTGTTCCTGTTTGCTTTTCTGTTACCATATTTTGTATTTAAAGATTGGATCCAAGTTGTTTCAATTTTTAACTTTCTTATTTTTAGTGTTCTGCACAGTGTGGTCTTGGGCAACAGATGCGAACAATACAATGCCTCTCATACACTGGACAAGCATCCAGTGAGTGTCCAGAAACACTTAGACCTCCATCAATGCAGCAGTGTGAAAGTAAATGTGACAGTACACCCATTTCCAACACAGAAGGTAAGTTTGCCATCTTAATATAATTTATTCTGGAAAGAGTAAAGTGACATGGTCAGTATTACTGCATTAATTTATTAGTAAAAGTCTGCATTACATCATCTCAGACTGTGAATGAATTTTTTACAATTATTTTCTAATTAGTCAGTGTAGTTCAAAGGTGAAGTCAATAAAAACCTGCATACAGGTTCTTTGTTTAAAAAAAACCCTTTAAAAATATATAGCCTAAGTCATGGACAAAATGCTATTGTTTTGTGTCATTAATTTATTTTTCCAGTCTCCTTATTGGCTCAATGGAAATGTCTATAACAGCAGGACATGCTTCTCATCCACTGACCTACCTGCTCCATCCATGGTTACCATAACAATGTAGCAGCAAAAATAATTAATTGCATGTTCATTGAAAGACTGGGACCACGGATTTAATGCTACACAGTGCTACAAGCCTGTTATTATGCTTTGAACTACTTGTCAGCTTCTTCTAATTAACTTTTAATTTCTTGGCTTTATAATGCCTCTTTGAAATAATTAGAGTATTTTTTACATGATACAGTCTAGTTTAATCAGACTATTAACCATCTTCATCATAACATATTTTTGCTAGAGTATATGTTAGATAATAATGTCAAAATAAGCTTATTGATGTTTATGAAAGGCTCCAGATCTGAACTCATAAATTGTCCAAGCCAACCTATTAGGAAATGCTGTCTTCAAAGTAGAAATGGAATGCTAGGCAGTAAAACCCAAAAAGTTTCCATATTGATTGTAAAATTTTTGAGTGGTTGCTCACCAGATGAGTATATTTAATTTTCTATGGAAGGGGAAAAGGAATAAAACATTACCAAAACACTTGTGTCCAAAAATCAAGAAAGATTGCACAGCAATGATAGTGCTTTTAAAACAGTTATTCCCTAAATTTTGAGTACTCAACCATAATGTCACTAACCCAGCTCTTTTTAGCATAACTAATCTTTGTGCAATATATAATGGAGTATCTTTTACACGGGTTTTCCAACTACATTGGAGTTCAATATCCTTTTTGTATGGAACAAAAAAAGGCAAATTTATGCTACAGTCTACTCTGATTTGGTGTTTATTCAATACCTACTGTATCCATTCAGGTTCATGCCATAGATTCAAAATTGTCATAAAATTCTGTCAAATGTAGATGTCTGTGATGAAATGGGAGCATGCTAAAATCTTGCCAGAAATACACTCACCGTAGCTTGCTGCTTGGAAGTTTAAATTTTAAATAGGAGTTTATAATCCTATGCTGTAATTTGAAAAACATCTTCATAATAGAATTTTCTTTGGTTGTTTAAATTCCCATTTGTATGTTTAGTGCTCTCAAGTAATCTTGATGTGATGATTATCGATCTAGGAAACTTTCTGCCCTTTAAAGCTCAAAGGCTAAGTGATAGTTTATTTCCAAACACAGATGTTGAGTTTTTCCAAAGTAAGCAAGGTAATAAAGTAGTTATAAGTGGGTATGATTTAGTCCCAGATGCATCTTAATTTCAAGATGACAAGGTCATATTATTTGTAGTCATAATGTTAGTATTATTATTCTTCAATATTATCAGGAAAATATTCTAATCTCCTATAGATGAATACAATCAGGAGATTTCTGTGTGTGATCTATGTACCCTATGTGGCTGTGGACATTTTTACAGTGGAACTCTGTAGGGTAACTATGAAAAGTAAGCTTGTTGGTAATAGTGTTTTTCAGGGACTTACACCTTCATTGGAAAATTTTTGGGATCCACAAATAGAAAATGTTGAAAATCACTTACGTAATATTCCAGATGGACTTCAGCTCTTTGGCCTGCAGTCTGAATGGGCCAGGCGTGAGCCAGTGCCTTACTGACAGCCATGCAGCCTCATTAGCGTGGTTAGTAAGAACTGAGGGGAAAAAGATACAGCTCAATCTCTTCCAATACATACAGTTCCCGATATGTTGCCACTTAGCATCCCATTTTTGCTTATGTCCTGCATTTCAGGTATTTACTGGAAACCACCAATTATTTGTAAGTGATTAAATGGCTCAAAAGTAAATGAAATCTGAAAGTTCATTTAACAATTTAAAATACCTGCATCCTTTCAGAAGAACCTTGCTGCAATCCATGAAATACTAAGGGTGTCCTATCCCAAAATTAGACAAAAAATTTTGTCTTCGAGGTATTTTTTCAGTATTTTTGCAAGTATTTCTTAAATATATGTTCTAATTTATACACATTTCAGAGCTGCTATTAAATAGTGACTGTAAGAAGCACAAACCAAGGATTCGCAGAATAATGTGCATGTATTGCACATTTTCTGTCTTAAAAAAATCCTCTTAGACACAAGAGGAGGTGATATCTCTTGTGTTAGTAAAGTGTTAGCCTTTAAACAGAGAGGCATATCTTTTTCAGCATACTAGAGATGATGGAAGGCTTATAAGTTTTCAAGAACTGACTAATCCTAAAAAGCACAACTATTTTTGGAAAGATAATACTTTCTAAGAAAGAAATATTTCTGTTCTGGTATATCCTTGTGAATGTATTTGTGAGGGAGGCATACTGTGCCTGTGCGCTTGCTTCTGTCTCTCTCCAAGTGCAGTGGGATGTGAACTGTGTATTTGAGTTCCGAGGAAGAAGTCGGGTCTCTCAGAAGGAGGGTTCTGCCCCGTGGGTGTGCATGCACGTAGCAGAGCATACCTGCTCGCATGTGGAGACATCCACATGCCACCTAGAAGCACTGACTCATGCTTTGAGCCCCACTGTGGGGCAAAAGCAACTTCAGCAACAGGTCATTGATTTGCTGCAGGGTCAGACTACCTGAGGGGATACCCTTCCTATTTCAAACCCCAGCAAACCTCCTGATTCCCTTTACTTGCCGAACTCTGTTACTCAGAGCCTATAGAACCCATTCAGCAATTTCTGGGCAATTTAATTTTGCTAACCCAAGAGAAGAGCATACATGCTTTTGAGGAAGCTTGAGCCACTCTGCAGTATAGCGATCATGTTGGTAAAGTTCAGAAGCACTTTCTTGGGGAAAGTACGGGTTGTTTACATAAAATAAGAGGGATACAGAAATAGTAAAAGAAAGTTACGATATATCTTGTAACACTTTACATCTGCTTTGTTTTCTTTAAAGTCTTCATTGATGATTTAGAATATTGTAGATGGGATCTTGATGGGCTGCCACTGATGAGGGTAACATTGCATTTGCTGCTGTAAGTGAACTACAGGAAGCATGTACCACATGATTTGAAATGCATTCAGAATTATTTTATTCTCTTAAATACATATATGTCTGCTGAATCTAGACTGCTAAAGGTCATCTGAAACTTCACCTGAAAAAATATTTCATCTATTTTTATGTCATTTCAGTTTTACTTTTATTTTCTCTGACATGTCTTTGCAGTCTCTTTAGCTGAAGGCACAGTGACATTCTGTGATTTTATTACTGTAATATCATAATATTGCCTGATCTAGCCACAAAGTTCAGGAAGGAAGAGTTTGATGCATGTAGCTTACTGAAACTTATTAACAGTAGTTACTAGGAACAAAATAGGCTCTGCTAAACCTCTTCCAGTCACCACAGTCCTATGAAGAATAGGCTACTTCATCAGCCACCGTATCTATTTCAAAACTGATTTTTAAAACAGAAGTTGTGGGCAACTTCCAGAATATTGTCTCACTGCAGTCCAAATAGCATTGGCTGAGCAAGTTCCAGTTTTAGTCAAGAGGAAGAATAACTTAAAGAAGCATGAAATAGGATAATTTCAAATTGTGTACTTTTAGCAAAAATAGTTAGTGGCTTTACCTGCATTTAACTAAATACAATGTGTATGAGGGTTATTTTTGGGATTGAGTGAACTTTTTACATCTCGTCAAGATCAAGTGAGCCTTTTTATTCCTCACTTCATTTATAATTCACCATCTGTCTCTCACAAACACAAGGACCTGAAATATTTCTGGAAAATATTTGACCTCATTTGGGAAGAGTTTTTGAAACTCAGTGAAACACAGTGACCATGTACGGTTGCTGGTAGAGAAATGTGTCTGTTTCAACCAGCTACCCGCAGTGTCTTTTCTCCTGGCATCCAATTCTCTTTCCAAATTGAGAATTAAAAAATTAGAAAAGTAGTACATAAAATGGCTAGGTGGAGTAAAAATATTACAATGAAAGCACTGTCTGTGTCAATGATATGAAAGTTTAAATCTTTTCGTGACCTGTACTTATCTAGCTAAAAGCATGCATATTGTCAGTATGCATATTCCTATTATCAGAAATACCGTTCAGTACAGACTCTGAAGTTCAGCCTCACTACTGCTTTCCTAAGTTCAAATACTAAAAATTCTTATTTGCGCTTAACTTGCTGTTACAGTGTGCTTGCAGCATGAACGCGCTCTCCATAACTACCCGTTTCAGAGCAAAAATAATGTACTAGGAGATTGTATGTAGATGGAAGGCAAATGGGATTAGCTGAATGATTGTACACGTTGGTTGTGTTTGTTTCACTATTACTTTTTTTTTTCCTTACCTGTTTGGTGTGTCTGTTGTCCCTTTCATATTTGGTTTACAGACATCTCAGAGTCAGGGACTGTTGTTCTGTCAGGCCTTGGAGCAACAGCATCCTGGCCTTCCTCCAGTCTTCACTTCTAGATATCAAATCAATACAAAATACAATAGTGGTCAGAGTAGTGCTAGTTCATCTCCTTTTTATTCACATTTTCTTTATAGCTGTTGTACTTTGAGAAAAATTGTAGGAGGAAGCCAATATCAAATGCAACCTTAAAAGAGTAAAAACTTACAGCATTCTTTTGAGACAAATAATTTTCTGAGAAATGAATGTAATTTCATTTTTCCCATCACTTAATTTTTGCAATTCAAACTTTTGGGGTTTACTTTTTCTCTTACACATCTTTTTCATCTTCCTACATGTGAAGCGAAGCTCCTTGCAAAAGTCCTATTTTAGTGTCCGTCTGGAAGGAACTGTGTAAATGCATTTAACTGAAAATCCCCTATTGGGCATCTATCACAATATTCACTCCAGCGCAAAGGAAATCTGCAGCAGCAGCATATGAGCTGTAGAACTTCAGTGTACCCCTGAGCTCTCAGATACTGCTGCATGTTCAGCTATATCAGAATTAGAACTGGGCATGGACCTAACTATTCGATTCCCTATTCCCACCTTCTTTCGACACAAAGGAAAATGAGCCAGAGGAGAACCACAACAAATTCCAGCAGTGCTCCTGTAATATATTCCCTCACGTCCGTTCAGATACAACCTGTGTGGGACAGAAAAGAAGGAATCCTTCGTCTGCATGGTTGAGCTCTTGTTCTCCCTTCCTGGCAGAGTTACCTGCCAGTATGACAAGGGTGGCTGAGGCAGTAAGCCCAGCACATAGGCAAAACACAACTATGAAAAAAAAAGCTCTTACATGTCTATTACAGGCATAATAAATGGTTTTCCTCCTGCATGGCAGAAATAGTGGATGTGTGGAACCAAGCCTAAAGTATAATCCACCATTTAGTCCAGTCACTGAACTCACACTGTTGGTGCCTTTATTTATATCACTTGTCACTTTCTCCATCCCTGTTAGCTGCAATGCACATTCTATTTCAAGGATTCCTACAAATGCAGAGGCATGGTACCAAATAGTGCGAATCATGTTAGATTTTGGATAACCTTTCATGGATGGATAAAATAACTCCTGAGAAAGAAGCTATAAAAGTAAAAAGTATTGTAAGAAAAATGACTCACATTTCCTAGCTGTCTAAAGTGATCATTTAACCCAATAAATGATAATTCTTCCAATACAAAGTGGGAATACTTCTAAATGCCTGGGAGAGAAGCCCTGCAAACATTTTTATGCCTTTTTAAAATACATTATGTGCACTAGGCTGGACTAGAAAAAGTAGTTACAAAGAGGGCAAAGTGGATGGATAGAGAAGCAGCATGTTAAATGTCAAATTTTCTTTGTACTTTAATTTTTATTTCTGATTTTTTCTCTTTAATGCTCTACATTATTAGAGTGCAAAGATGTGAACAAAGTGGCATATTGCCCACTGGTGTTGAAGTTCAAGTTCTGCAGTCGAGCATACTTCAGACAGATGTGCTGCAAGACCTGCCAAGGACATTGACCCACAGAAAGCACAAGAATGTGCCTTGTTATTATCGTTGTGGAAGAGTGTCCATTGAAGAGAGCCACACAGCGCAATGAGATTGACGTCCTTGCAAATGCATTACCCTGTGGAAAACATAACCACTGGTCAGCCCCAGCTGACAGGATTTCAATATTATTTTAACTTCTGTGAAGTGGGATTTATTCATCCAAAGTGCTGGACACAGTATAAGGAGGGCATGCCAAATTGGAAAGATCCACACAGCACATACAGAATAGCTTACTGTGGAACATTTGTGTTCCTTTGACTCATTCCAATAGTCTGTTTACCTCCTTGGACCATTAAAATAATTTTTATTATGGACTTAGCAATGACACTGAATCCATTTGTATTTAAAACTTTTTAAAATGTAGCTGTTATGACTTGGTCTACTATGGAAGTAAAGAAGAATCAAAAAATGTTAAGTCATAGCTTAAAAATGTTAACTATTTTATCTCACGACACAGCACCACAATTTAAATTATAAAATGAGCTTGGAAATGTTATTTAAGGAGCAGAAATTAAAAAAAATAATATGTATTTTTCCTTCATTCCACCTAATTCCCTTTGGGGTAATCCGTATTTCCTGAACACTGCTGTGAGCCATATATAAAGCTATACTAAATAGAACAACCATAAGGGACTTAGTTTTAAGAGGTGCAACAGTTATTGCAGTGGTGCATGAAATACAAGTGTGCTATGAAACAAAATGAAATCCGTGTCGCAGGTTTATAGCCATCTTACCATTGTACAAGTGAAGCTGAGATTTCCACTGAAAGGGAATATATTCCAGTATCATGGAGTAGGCAGACTCAACAGTGGTGAAGACTGTATTGCCAGCTCCTTCACTACTACTCTACAGGTTGCTTAGAACTTACACTTTGACTCCACCTCACTTTTGTTTACAACACAATCCACAAAGAAGAAACAACTTTGTGGGCATCCAGATCTGGTTTACATGTTACTTTTGGTTCTGCAAAACTAAGAAATTCCAGTGCAAAAGATAAGCCTACTGTGTAATTGCAACAATCTTTTGCAAAGCTGGAAGTTGAAATGGATTCCAGATGTTGCCTTCTTTGATACCACAGCAGAAGGGCATTTGTTTATGAGAAAGAATACTTAAATGTGCAGTTCAGGAGACCACATCCAAGTGGGCAAGGGTTACAACCAAAGAAAAAATGACTCGTGGAGGTATTTAGGTCCTGTTCACATGAGAAGTCAAAAGTGTGCTTGAGCCAAGATGTCTGTTGGACTATCAGGAGTAAGGCATACTGGAAAAGAGGTGGTTGAAATGAAGTCTGGCCACTTTCACCTAATGGCCAGGTACATATTTAAAAGCTGGACCATATTTAAAGCTAGGGGCAGCTTCCAGCATGAGACTGGAACAAACTCATGCCTCTAGATTAGTAGCTAGATGCCTTAACTATTCTGCTGCCATACTCCACCTATTTCATATTACCATATTTTTAATATTCACCAAATACTTTGCGTTTTTAAATGTGAAACCAAACTACGTAGGCAAGACACATTCAAAAATTTACCATAAAAAAGCTAATTGTTATGTTCCTCTTCCCCTTCACTTTTCAGTAACAGACTCAACAAGGAGATAAAGGAAAGCAGGTACTTGTTTATATTAATATATTGTACTTGAACACTTGCATTTTGCAGCAGGTACGTGATGAATGTGCTTTTGTGCCCAACTATGCCTCCTTTGTTGTAGTGCAATTAAAATTATGTGAACAATAACATGTTACAAATTCTAACTCAAATGGCACTTTTAAAAAAAAGTACTCTTTTCAGTGAAAAATAACTTCAGAATACCATGAGATTGAAGTGTACCAGTGTATTTTGCCAATAACAAGCCAAATGTGTTGCACACTATTTACTAATGTGAATTAGCATGGAACAATAGATATTGTTAACAGGACTCATACTATGAAATCCCCCCAACATTTTGACAATCTCCCTGTGGGGTTTTGTGTACCCCATGTATTCGTGACCATCAAATTCCTGTCATCTGCTACCTCTTGCCAATATTTCCACTTCCATACGCCTGTGACCAGTGGAATTCATTTTCAGTTGGCTTGCGTGTATTCACATATGCTTATCTGCTGCTCTCATCAGCGTGTAAACAACTCCTGTAAAACTGACACCAGCAGATAAAAATCCCCAACCTTTGGGAGTTGCACATAGGCATTAAGGGCAGTGTGTAGTCCTTCTCTATTAAGTGAATCAATTTTCTATATCCTTTTGACAAAACACCTTGGTGCTAGCATGTCCTGGCTACGTCAAATATATGATGAAAGGGAAAGGGGTTGCTTCGGCATTTTTTTCAAGAGGCCTCTTTGTATCAGCGTCCAGTTTTCTCCAGGGCATGATTTTGTTTATCAGCTAATGTGTCTTTTCAGCTAACAAGAAAAGGGTTTTCTATGTATTCAATGGAAACCTTTTTTTTTTTTTTTTTACCTCACTTAGGACATTAAAATTGTAAGGAGTGTTTCCAAAGACACATTTTGCTCTCTTACTGGTGCTAAAACACTAGGGAGTCTGATGTTTACTCTGCAACATAACAGCACTGAGGTTGGAATTTAAAGAACTCCCTGGAGCAACGTTGAATTGTATTGTTAAAGGGAACAAAACACAGAATGTATGTGGATTTACAAACTAAGCAACGCTTCAGACTAAGACTGAAAAATGAAACCTAATTCAAAGAAAAACAATTGGTTTCCACAGCACAGTTCATTGCTGCTGCTACACTGTAGCCATCTATATAATCTAAGCTAAATAGTGTTATATTCCTAAATAGTGACAAAAGGACTATTTGTATAGGCTATAAATACGACAGGCCTAGAAGCAAATAGTAGAATACAAAATGCAGAAATCAATCTGGTGCCAGTACTTCCACTGAGCAATACTATCAGCTGAAGAAGATCAAAACAGAAAGAAAAATCTAGAGATTAACCCCTCAAGGTGTATACACCCAAAAATAGTCCGTTTCGTTAGGAACTTTGTAATGGAGTGAATGTCACATAGATATCCTTAATAATACAGACTGAAATTACCTTTGTATTATTGTGATTAGTTGCTTATTATTTTATACTTTATATTAATGTGGTACACTTACTTTATTATTATTTTTTGCTATTGTAAGTTATATTCTAATTTATTGTCATGTTTCTTAACAATTGTTCTACGTGCATTCTCCTGCTTGTAATGAAAACAAAAATATTGTAACACGATGCAGTTAAATCCCACACCAGGCACAAATTTGTTTTTAACATAGATAATTTAGTAAAATAAAACTGCAGCTTTTAAGAATGATTCCCATGGTACAGTTGTCTATTCCCTGACTTACAGCTACTAGAATTCTGTATACTTAACATTTGCTTCATCAGATGCCTCAAAATATATATACGATGTTTTCTTTCAGGTAACATCTATACGTTATGCTAGAATCCTGTCCTTGGCACCAGCGATGTTTGTCATATATAAGCAAAACAATAAGGAAAAGGAAAAGTCAAGAACATGGTCATGTACGTTATTAGATAATATTTTAGCCTAAGCAATAATGTAGATCAAGAATGAAATTAATGGCAGCAGAAATATCCTGTACTTCTTGGAATGATTTCATTAACAGCCAGTCAATGATAACAATAACAATAAAATGTCCTTCTTGCATTGATCTTTTAAAGTTTTATCTGAAGTTTATCTGAAGACATGATGTTTTTAAATTTAAAGAAGAAAGTAATTTCAGAAGACTTGGTGCTTTGGTCACTGTTGCTGAGACATGCTTCTTTTTTTACCCGGTACAGTAAAAATACCTAGTATGGAAATCGCTGATCAGGTCCCATGAAATATTTCTTGTTTCTCAGTTAAAATTTTATTTCTGGTTAATGAAAACAATCACTCTACTATTATGAGTAAGATGTTAAAGAAAATACAGAGAACCTTAAATATTTTGATAAGGCATGTACTAATTTTGGTTATGCTTTTTTATTCTATTTACAAGTGAGGACTCAAAAAACAATTACCTGTTTTAAAGGTACAGCCATTTCTACCTGTGCTCTATCACAAAGTTTTATTGCTCTGCATATCAAACGTTAAAAATGGTGTAGTATTAGTAAATAACACAGTCTTCTCTGTCATTCCAAAACTCTGTTGACTTTCCTCCCATACATTCACACTACAAGTAATTACCTGATAAGTTTCCCACTATTGTTCAGTTCTGAGTACTGTTTTTTCCCCCTGGAGCATTTGTGTTTTGGATTATAATGACAAACTGGGTACAGTGAAACAGATGCTGTCCTGTTTCTTTCTGTTTTCCTCCTCCTGCTACCTTAAACCTAACATCACCCATGCTGACTATAGAATTCCTGGCACACACAATTCCCTCCAGTCTTCTTAAAATGCATACTTCCTGTGCCTGAATTTCCTTCTGGAGCTAACCCTGCTATTATTATTCCCTGTTACACTTTTTTTCAGTTTATTTCTTGAGGAAATGGACACCATTTTTACCTGCGATACTTGCTTTTCCTTTCTCTGATTTCCCTTGCAATACCCCACAACCGTTCCCTCGTAAGTAAACTCCCTGTTCTCTCTGAAGCTATGTGATCTACAAGAAGGACTTCTAAATATCCTCTGTAGAATGCTGAACAGGCCTTGGTTGTTTTGCTGACTTTTTTATTGTTATTATTTTTTATTACTAGGAACTAGGATCCAGGACTCTTCTGTGGAGGTTTACTGCAATAGACTTTGGATGAGTCCTGTGAGCCTCATCTGGAGTCAGTCAATCACCAATATGTGTCTTAAGAGAAGGCCATTGCTAAGCTGAGGCCATCATTCTGTGAGAAGTGACACCCTATCTGGCCGTCTTCCCTTCACCACAAACAACAATTAGGTGGAAGGAATGGATCATTGCTTCTGTGTGGTCCCTCCAATCTTTGTCCTAGACAGAATGGTGTAAGAGCATTTGCATGCAGTAATCAGGATGGAATCCCAAACAGATTCATAAGGGCTCAGTCAGCCACAGAACAACGTTGACTATAACACTAGCAGCTTGGTAGTTTCCCAAGTATATCTGGCCCAGCTAAAGGGAGAGGTCATGTCCAGTTTAGGAAACCGAGCCACTCACAATGCCTGCCGTTTAGTGTGCATTTAAGGATACTGCATCCCTCAAACTGGCATATCACCTGAGCACCACACATCATTTATTTTCTTCTATTTCTGCACAGGACTGATATTTTCATTGAGCTGGACAGGCTACAGGACACATAGTTTGTGCACAGAGGCCCTATGGCTGCCAGTCAGAAAATTACAGAAATCTAACCTGGAAAGGGTATGAGTATGTATTTCTGCATTAAGACTGGGAGGATGCCATTTCAATTAACAGAAAGGCCTTTTCAGAGAAGACCCAGCAAGATCACTAGATAAATAATCTCACTTCTTTAGTAATCCTGTCTGGAACAAATTCATGGCATCACAGTTTGAGATAGAAAAGGAAGTGTTTTGGAAGCTAGAAGTGA